ACCTGTTACTCTACGAACAACTTAAGCCTGAAAGTCCAAACTCTTCTTATATGCTCAATTTTCCATTTCTCCTCAACACAAACTTTACAATTTGGTGGCCACTTCAGGTTCGGGATTCAGTTGTTTTTTTTTTGGTGGGGGGATATGCAGGCCTCTCACTGCTGTGGCCTCTCCCGTTGCGGAGCACAGGCTCCGGACGCGCAGGCTCAGCTGCCATGGCTCACGGGCCCAGCCGCTCCGTGGCATGTGGGATCTTCCTGGACCGGGGCACGAACCCGTGTTCCCTGCATCGGCAGGTGGACTCTCAACCACTGTGCCACCAGGGAAGCCTGGGATTCAGTTTTAATGCTTCTAACCCACCCTAATTTATATTTTAAGGAAAGCACAGATACACTGTCAAGCAGCTAGGCTGCCAAAAAAACCAGATGAAGTCAACTCTGAAATGTTGGCCCATCATGCTGGGCCTAGGGTACAGCATTATGACGCTAGCTGGATTGTTAGGGGTAAATCTTAAGTTATATTGAAGAGGTGACAATACTAAGTTTTAACAATGTTCTTACCCATCTGTGGGACTTTTCATACATATCTACATATCACAGAAAGAAGTATGTCAAACCATGTACCCATAAAACATATGGTCAGCATAATCCAAGTAACTAATGGAGGTTTGGTTCAAATACCATACTTTGCAGGTTGTGGAGGAGACTGGTAGTCCTAACTAGATAGGCCAGCTCTGCTTCTTAAAGAGGAAGGCATATCTCTACATCTTGCAGGCAACAGTCTCTAGAAATCCGTATATTTCAAGGACACTTTAGATAAGCAATGAATACATAGGTGTTTGGCTACACACTGTACTGTTCTCCTGGGTCTGTTACAAGATGGGCATGGGAGACACTGTGATAGTGGCTCATACCTAGCTAAACCTGGAAAGCATTTCTAGCTAATAACATGTATTATGAGAAATTTTTTTTTTTGCGGTACGCGGGCCTCTCACTGTTGTGGCCTCTCCCGCTGCGGAGCACAGGCTCCGGACGCGCAGGCTCAGCAGCCATGGCTCACGGGCCCAGCCGCTCCGCAGCATGTGGGATCCTCCCGGATCGGGGCACGAACCCGTGTCCCCCACATTGGCAGGCGGACTCTCAACCACTGCGCCATCAGGGAAGCCCCTATAAGAACTTTTTATTTCACATTTTAGGTATATGATTTAAAACTTAGGAAAATGCATGAAATTATAATGGTTCCTCTTACTAGATGGATTTAAACTAGAGGCTGGATACACATTTACAGTGGCATCATAAAGGAGATTCAAGCATCAGTTGAGGGGGTCGAGGGATGAGATGACCATAACAGTCTCTTCTAATTATGAGAATCTAGATTTATATGAACATTATCAAGACATACTCAATTGAATTTATACAAGTGACGCATAATCTTTACAACTCACACAACCTGAGATCTAAAGATAGGTGAAGAATTAGGAAAGGAAAAAAAGTTTTTTTGATATGGGCTTTAGGTGGACGCAACAACAAGAGGCATTTGATTGGATACGTCAAATTGTTGGCTATATATGCAACAAGTGGCTTCAGCAATGACCTCTTCCGAATCGCAAAAGAATTTCTGATTAATTCTCCTGCCTCTAAGAGAGCTTAACTATTGTTATTTGTTGATTTACAAAATACCTTTTCACTTAAGAATTCTTACTAGTAGGACCCCCTTGCTAGTACTGCTGGGAGGTGGGTAGTGGGTTGATTGGGGAAGTGGGATGGTTATTAATTGAAAGATTAGAAATTTTTGCTACAGTTTCTATTTGATGTAGGGCCATTTAATACAGTAAGATCTAGAACGACAGAAACTTAACTTTCATTTATATTTCTGAATTAGCATAATATTTTCCCATATTGTACTACTGGGGAACAGTGGAGCCAATGGTGGCATGAATGACAGTCATCCCTTCCTGCTGGCTTAATCATGTGACACTGGGACAATGAAGGTGATGAGGAAGACAAGCAATTGAGGGATCCTCCCTATATCTCTAATACATTCTCCCTCTTCTCCAACTGACTTAAGGGATGTTCTCCACAGATTAACATTATTGCAGTTTGTCAACACTTAGTTTTCTAAATCACTATAGGATTTTAAATCAATTCTTACTTCAGATGCAAAGTAGGACATGTAATTTTGATTAAATATTTACTAATAAATTCACAATCAAGGGAAAATAATACACAAGATGTCATCTTTATTATAATGTATAAAAAGAGAAGAAAATTATTTTGCAAAATACTACATTTTAGCATTATGTGGATATGTGTGTTTTTGCTTTTCTACTCATAAAACTGTCATTAGCTCAACGTATACTGTTTATTGGGTCTAGAAAAATCATAAATAAAGCTGTCTTTGAACTATTCTATGTGAAGTTCACAGGAGCAAGAAAACATTTTTATCAATTAAAAAAATATTTCACCAAAAACAACCCCCCAAAACACTGTGATTCCATAGTGAAACATTTTAAGAATTCCCAAGCCTTCCCTTTTTCCTCCTTCAAGGAGGTACACAAATGAACCAAGACACATTACTGTCCAGGGTATAGTACTGGTTCAGAGGCCTATATATTCCTTGAGGTTTTGTGCACTCTTCTTCAATCTAGAACTGTGATTTTGAATGCACAGCACAAAGAGTTGTAAAACTACCAAAATATTTCACTGCAACTGACAGGCAACTTTGCCTTGTATGGTGAACCTTCTCTTTCAAATCAGAATGTCTCATCCTCTGCCATCTAGAGCAGAGGCATCAATAAGTTGAAATTAGTGATAAAAGGTAATAATTAGACACTGCAGTGATTGATGGATACAGTTGAGAAGTCATAACTGACCCTACCCTGAATCCTGGCTTTCCTACTTATTCACTGTATGACTTGGGCTACGTAATTTTAACCCTCTGGGCATTAGATTCCATACCTATAAAACAGGAATAATAACAGTAGTTACCTCAAAGGGGTACTGTAAGGCTTAAAAAAATACATGCAAAGCCCTCAGTACAATACCTGGCACACAGTAAGTGCTCAATAAATGTTGACTGTTTTTATTATTATTTCTGTAAACTGAGCAGAGAACTTGTAAAATATCAAGAGTTCCAAAGCCCATCTCACAGAGCAGCGAGGGGTTCTGTCCAGAGCAACTTGAGTTTTAACACCTTTTAATTTTGGCCGTGGGCTATGATATCATCTGTGCCACTAGCCACCAAAGAGCCCTTGAACTGTGCCTAGTCAGAACTGAGATGTGCTGTTAGTGTAAGATGCACATCAGATTTCGAAGACTTAATATGAAGAAAAAGAGAATGAAGAATATCTCGATTTCAAAATGTCTGATTATGTATCGAAACGATAATATTTTATTTTTTATCTTTGGCCACACCGCGCGGCTTGTGGGATCTTAGTTCCCCAGACCAGGGATGGAACCGGGGCCCTTGGCAGTGAGACCTCGGAGTCCTAACCACTGGACGGCCAGGGAAATCCCGAAATGGCAATATTTTAGACATCCTGGGTTAAATGAAACTTTAAAATTAATTTCATGTTTCTTTTCTTTTTTCTTTCTTTCTTTTTTTTAAACGTGGCTCTCATTAAATCTGCACTCAGAGCTGATGGCGAGCTTGTCAAACTGCGGATTCTCAGGACCGCCCAGACCTACACAATCAGCATCTGCGCTTCAGTATGATTCTGAGGTGGTTCTCACGCACTGCTCCAGTGTTCCTCTGTTGATCTTACTCTGGAGGACAAACCTGGCCCTACAGTTACATAAATGCGAATACCCTGGCTTTAAGTAAGTGCTCACCGAAAAAGAAAAGTGGAGGAGAAAGCGGCGGGAGGGAAGGAGTAAGGTAGAAAGAAAAAGAAACTCCAAGTAGAGGAACAAAAAGATGCAGGAAGGGGAGAAATCCAACCTGGGAGATTCAGTGGAAGGGAACTTCCAGACTTCTGCCTCCATAAATGTGGAGAGAGATACAAACTGAGGTAAAATCTACCATCCAAACCTGTAAGGACCAGGAAATCGTCAGTCAATTCAAGTCTTACCCGCCCCTCAGCGGCCTCAGCTAAGCGAGGCCTGGGCCCGAGAGATCTGAGGACGGTAACCACCATCCGCCCCAGGGCTCGACGGTTCGCCGGGGAGTCTCCCGCTCTCTCCCCCAAGGCCCGGTTGCCCAAGACACGCAGCACGTTTCTCGGCACTCACCTGCCTCGGAGCGGCTCCAACGGCCTGCACCTTCACCACAGCCACCTTCGAGTCCTTCTGCAGAGGGCCCACCCCCTCTGGGCCAGGGGCTGTTCCCATTGGCCAGGCCGCTCGTCAGTCTCGGAGGCTCTTGGACACCCCCGAGGCTGTAGGGAACGCCATAGCAACCGAACATGGAACTACATCTCCCGGCATGCTCTACGGCGATGCACTCGGGGCTCCCAATAAATGCGCGAAGTCCTAGTTGCCGAAGGGTTCAGTTTTATGCAAATATCAGTTAAAGACCACACCCTTCCTCGTTCCAACCGTATCCCCATCATCTTCTTTGGACTGTGCCCCGCCTCCCTTTTGCCTCCACATTGTTCTTTCCTTTAACACTTTCCGTTAGTTAGTTGAATGCATCCTAACTAGTGTCTCGCCTCGCACGGCAACGGAGAAATGCACCGAAATCGTGAAACAAAATATGCCTAAGCCCCGTCAGGAATATCCCAGACCTGACGTCTCTAGTTACGCCTTCAGGAAAGGGGATGGGGAGGAAGGAGAGCCCAGGTCACGCCCCCTTTGCACTTGCTGATTGGTTTATTCGGCTGTCACTCCGTCCTCTTTCATTTTTTTAGCTGTCCCTCCTGTGGTTCCCCGCGGTGGGCGGGGCTAGAGGTAGGGGGCGGTGAGGAGGTGTAGGCCCCTTCTTTCGATTGGTAGATTTTTTTGTCCCCACCCACCCGGGGGCGGAGATGGAGGGGTGGATGGGAGCAGGGGAGGCAGCTGAGGGAGATGAGGAGATAGGCGGGAGCGAGGGAGCGAAGGAGGTAGAGAAGAGCGGAGGAGAGGGGAGGGAGCGCAGCTTGGTTGCTCCGTAGTACGGCGGCTCGCAAGGGAGAATCCCGAGCGGGCTGCGGGACGTACGGAGAGGCGGGCGGGCGGGGATGGTGTGCGGGGCTGCGGCTCCTGCGTTCCCTCCCGCTGCGAGTGAGCTGCACTGATTTGTCCCTGGGGCGGCAGCGTGGACCCGCCTGGAGATGAGGTGAGGAGCGGGCTGGACCGCGGCGGCCTGGACCGGGAAGGCGGCAGGGGCGGGGGTCGGCGCGGGGGTCGGCGCGATGGCCGCCTGGGGCGCCCGTTCCCCGGGCCGGTGCGCGTCCCTCCGGGCGCCCTTCACCCTTTGCCACACGGTCGGGAGGCGCGGCACCCGCAAACCCTGTGCCTCGTCCTTCCTATTCTCCCGGGGGCTGCGGTGGGGCGGCCGGCTGGCGGGCGCCGGGAGGCCAGGGCTCCGCGGCGGACTGAGGGGGTGGCGGCTACGGGACGGGCTTCGGGTTGAATGGGCGTCTGCAGCCGTGGCCGGCGAGCGGGGTCCCTCCTTCCTCAGGGTGGACGTGGGGCGGTCGGTCTTTCCAGGGCTGACCTCGCTGCCCTCGGCCGCCTGAGCCTGGCGGGCTGGCCAAGCCTCGCTTCCCCGCCAGCCTCCCGGGGATCCGGAGCTCGCGGGGAGCGGCGTCGCGCCTCCCGCCTTTCTCCCCCGACCTTGAGTCCCCGGCTCATCCCTTTTTCTCTCTCCTGTGCCTTCAAAATCCCTGTCAGTGAAGGACAGTCAATGCCGTTTGGCCCTGAGTCCTCCTGCTGGGGCTGTCTCTGATGGTATTTAACGGAAAGCGGCTCTCCTTTCAGTGGGAGCGCGTCCCCGGTGTCTGCCGTTCCCCTTCCTTTCTTTACGCACAGACACGGCTTTACGGTGTGGACCGAAGGCACAATTACCGGCTCTTGCTTGAACGAGGAAATGTAATCAGAATCCCCAGGAAAAGGAAACCAACGAGGAATGGGTTGCGCCTTCCTTTACTCCTTGTTTGCCTTTGGATTAGAAGGCAACTTCGTAGATTCTATTTCCTATAGACATCTTTTGTTGTGATTCAGACTAAAGGCGTTGCTTTTGAAGAAATAAATTAGCGGCTTCTATGTTGAGTTGAAGGCTATGGAGATTTTTGATGGCCTCTTAATATGAAAGTTTCCTTTAGAACTTTGCCATCATCATTGCTATTCTGAAGGCAGCACCAGCCTGAAATTTTAAATACATGCAGACTCCGGACAGATGCGTTTCTTTGTGCTTATCTGCTGGCATCCTACTCTTAATGTTTCCGTGGTCGGAACGAACAGATAATAAAAACAAGTACAATAAAAAGTATAGATCCTAAAAACAAATACCATACCAAAAAATGCATCTGGAAAATCTCAGTTCTGTCAACGGGGAGGCAGTTTTTACTAATCCCTTTGAAAGGATGAAGACCAGGCTCAGAGATCTCATGGATTATGTGGTGGACAGGATCTGAGGGAAGGAACTGGGGCCATGGATCCAGCAGGCCAGCTGGTTTATGTAGTGCTACTCTTAACCTCTGAAATAGGAGGAATGTATTTGTTGGGATACCTTTATTTTTGGATGACTTAAGGTGCAGAAGCTTAAACGCCCCCAAAGTTATGATTTCTACCTGTCACTGAGAACAAAACACTATGTGTTTTTGTTCTCAAATTTTTAATAGTTTACTTGAAACATTTATGTTGTTTTGATGGTTGTTTGCTTATTACTAAAGAAAAAACCATTTTAAAATATTGAGTTCTTTCTGTAGGAGGTTTGTAAAGAACCCAGAAACTTTAGGTAATCTAAATTGAGAAATGAGGGACACTAATTGAGTGATGGTTTAAAAACTATTTAAAACTTCTTTAAGTAGCTCCAGTAAGGAGCATTTCTGATACAACTTTTTTTTAAAGGCTATTTCTTTATCTAAGAATGTTATCTATTGAAATTGCTGAGGCACATGGTACCTTCACAAAACTCTATTATTATTCTGCCTGAGTAAGAGAGGAAATGAACAAATTTTTGATGTACTTTGGAACCCTGTGGATTGTTCAGATACTAAGCATTGTGAAATAGGGCATAAAATGAGTGGTAGCAAGTTAGTTCCCTGAAATGTTTGTCTCTCTTAGCTAATTTTCTTTTTTGCAGTTGACTAGCAATTTCCTTTTTCTTAATGCTTATCCCTAATATTGGGAGTAAAATTCTGCTTAGGTTCATGTTTTCCCCAAATAACTAGATTAAGGCAAACTCAAATCTATAATGGGGGTTAAGAAGGCGGTGCTGGTAAATCCCTCTACTCTTACTCAGCTTTTTTTTTTTTTTTCCGGTACGCGGGCCTCTCACTGTTGTGGCCTCTCCCGTTGCGGAGCACAGGCTCCAGACGTGCAGGCTCAGCGGCCATGGCTCACGGGCCCAGCCGCTCCGTGGCACGTGGGATCTTCCCGAACCGGGGCGCGAACCCGTGTCCCCTGCATCGGCAGGCGGACTCCCAACCACTGCGCCACCAGGGAAGCCCTTACTCAGCTTTTTAATTTGCTAGATTTGTGAATTATAGGGAATTAATTACAGGTCGGTTGGGTTTATATTACTCAGTTCACATTCCACTGCCATAGAGCTTTTCTCTTCTGAATGATCATTCTCTTCTGAATGGTTCCACTTACTGGCGGGTTTCTCAAAGTCTGGACCTCAGAACACTTATATCAGCATTGCCTGAGGTTCTTGCTAAAAATACAGACTCCTGGAATCTGATTTCCAGCAAGTCCTCCAGGAAGTTTTCTTGCACAGTAGCGTTGTAGAACCACTGGCATTGTGCTTCCTTCTCACTGAGCGTGTCCTAAGACCATGTTTTGAAGAGGATAGCAAGTTTTTTCAAGAGACAATAACTTTTATCCCTTAGGCTGCTAATAAAAAACTATGACATTCAGGTATGTGACACACCTATAATATAAATTTCAGAAGGGCAGAGACTTTGGTTCATCATTGTACCTCCAATGCCTAGAAGAGTGCCTGGAGGAGCTTCATGAAACACTTAAGTGAATTACATCACAGTGAGGCCACGTCTTTAAACCTTTACTTGTAAAGTTAATCTTATCACTTTGTAGTCATTGATTTTAAGCTTGGAGCCGCAAGTACTGTACCCCAGTCATTTCTGTAAGTTTGGTTGGCTCTGAAAGGAGAGAATCTTTCCCAAGCTTAGACTGCTCAAGGCGATAAGCTGGAAAGAAGGCTCCTAGCAAAATGTTTGCTTAGGCTCAAAATATAAATATAAGTCACAGTATAGTGGTAAATTACTATGTTATCACTACATTAAAATGCCATTTTATAAGCTATGATAAGCCCAACATAATGCAATAAAAATTGGTTTCCAAAAAATGTAGAAAACTGGTATGTTTTCTGATTTTATTTTTCATCCTCGTAACATATGACCTTCACTCCTTTTTTTCAGAGTCCAGCACAGGACTCAGTCCCATAAATAACAGCTTCTGTTGTGTAGTTGAGGGGATGGATAGTTAAGAGTGCAACATCTAGAGGATATTGGGTTTGACCACACATAGTCTGTGACTTTGATCTAGTCACCTAACCTCTCAGTGCCTCAGGTTTCTCAGCTGAAAATGGGAATAGTTGTAGTAAAATTTAATACTTCTAAGTGCTTGCTTAAGTTCTTCAGATCCATTCATTTAATAAATGGTAGTTACGATGATCATAAAAAGTTGAGGTATATAAAAATATATGAAACTCTAGCTAGTCCGCTCAGTTTTTGTACTACTGTACTTTATGGTAGTAAATAGAAATCCATTGCTTAAAAAAGAAGTCTCTTGCTAATTTCTTGGCACTAAATATGTATAATTTTTAAATTATAACAATAACTAAACATTAAAAGTATTTAATAAAACATCAAGTTCTATGCAAATTTTTTTCTGAATAAAGATAAACCTGTCATCACTTTCAGCTTAATAGTATTATTTCAGAAAGAAACTAATAATCAGTTTAGATAATCCCTTGTATTTTAAAGAATCGCATATTTATGGTAGAACAATTGAAATACAGAACAGCAGAAAGTAGAAAACCATAAAATACTTAGAGGTGCACTACCTGAATACATTTCTCTCCAGACCCTTTTTCTGTGTGCATGTGGCTATTTATATACAGTTTTTGGTAGCAAATATGGGATCCTGCTATACATGATTGTTTTGTAACCTGTACTTTTTTTCTTAACATCTTACATGAATCTTTTCATGTCTGTATAGTCAGTTATAATAGTAGTTGAATAATATTCCATTTTATGGGTCTGTGATAATTTAACCAATTTGTTTTTATTAAACATTAGTTTATTTTTTTCCCACCACTATAATCAGTATCTCTGCAATGACTATCCTCCATGCATCTCTATATATACTTTTGAGATTTTTTATCCTTAGGATAAATTTCTAGAGGTTTGATTGCAGGATCAAAGTGCATGCTATGGTTTAAGAGTTTTTGATACATATTTCCAGTTTGTCATTTTGAAAGGTTGTAGCAATTTACACTGTTAGCATGGTGTATGAGAGTTCCGTTTCCCTCCCCCTTCCTTTTTTTGGGAATGACTTAACCAGTGACAAACCTAGTGAATTGTTTTCATTTTTAGGAAGAAGAATGGGATGTTATTGTGACCAGTTTGATGGTGTGATATGGAAAGTCAGAAAATTCATACACCTGTCACAATGATAGCTAACTTTTTTTTTTTTTTTGGCTGTGCTGGGTGGATTGTGGGGTCTTAGTTCCCAGACCAGGGATTGAACCTGTGCCCTCTGCAGTGGAAGCACGGAGTCCTAACCACTGGACCGCCAGGGAATTCCTGATAGCTAACATTTATTGAGTCCGTTTACAACATTTTATAAGCATTAACTCACTTAATTTTCAAAAATTCTCTGTTCTTTAGATGAATATGACTTGGAAACCAAGGTACCTGCAGTTAAGTAACAGAGAGCCAGCAAGTGGCTATGCAGATTTGTTACTCTAGAGCCCAAACTCTTAGCCACAGCGCTGGATTGCCTATTTCCTGCACATGTTGTATGGCACTGGGGGTACTTTTTACATTCCTGATTTCTGTTTTGAAATAACCTAGCAGTTTCTTGGCGTGCATTAATTTATTAAGTAGGTGGGGCACAGATTTGAAGCCCTCTCATTGAGGAGTTCAT